CCCCCCTTCCTTGGGATCGGCCGGGTCCCTCGGTGTGGTGCGCCCACTGCGGTCCCTCATTCAGCTGTGCCCCTCTGTGGATTGGGGATAAATGTCCAGTGACCACACCTCTTCCCCTTCTGGCCGAGGTTGCAAACTGGCTACATTCAATATTGTGACCTGCATAGTGCTTAAAAAGATCTGAGTAATTGCCAACCATATTAGTTTCCTAGGGCTATTGTAACAAAGTACCATAGTGTCTGGGTTAGAACAGAAATTTATTGTCTCATCGTTTTGGAGGTCAGAAGTCTGAATTCAGGGTGTCAGCAGGGCATGGTCCCTCTGAAGTCACTTGGGAGGGATCTGTTGCAGTCTTCGAGCTTCTGGCAGCCTTCGGGGTTCTTTGGCTTGTAGATGCATCACTACATCCTGAGTTCATCTTCACATCACCTGTCCTTTATACATATCTGTCTCTGACAAAATTTCCCCTTTTAATAAGGACACCAGTCATATTGGTTTAGGGTTCACCTTAATGATCTCATTTTAACTTGAGTACCTCTGTAAAGATGCAAATAAGGTCACATCTGAGGTACTGGGTTAGGATTTCAACCTATCTTTTTGTGGGGACACAATAATGCCTACAGTTAAAAAGCAGTGACTGTCTTTAGAAGTGCCATAGTCCTTACCACTTCATAGCTGTTCTTTGAATCTCAAGGCCAAGGTCACCACAATGTACTGTTCTACATTCAGTCTTTGCCCTACATCTGAGAGATCATAGTGGGGGCAAAAAACTTAGTTGGCCCTGGTCATACACTCCTCCATTTAGAACTCCAGACTGTGTTATGGTGCTCAAAAGTGTATGTATCTTCTTCAGGCCCTGTTTGGCAGCTTGCAGCTGGTGCTGAAACTGACAGTAACACGTAGAACGAATCTGGGTCTCAATACTTTAGCGCTATCACAGACCAGGAACACCTGTTGGGAGGCTTTACATGAACGTGAAAGTCATGGGTTACCTGTTTTCTAGAGTTTGCTAAGGTCTCAGGCCTCCTTTTTTCCTTAACCCTAAGACACTAGGTACACAAACCACTAACGAGCTTTGAGACTATGCTCTGTTACACCACACTGCTTCTGTGAGCCTGTTTTCTGTTCTGTGAGATGCACCAAGAACCAAGCAGAGATGGTCTAGATCAGTGGAATCTTAAGTGTTCTCAGGAAGGAGTGGGGAGAGGAGCATGGCCCTCTGACAGGGCCATGGCAGGCCTCATCTGAAAGAAATTTCTACTGAAAGTTTGAAATTTGTTGGGAAGATCCATGTTTTTCCCCAAATAGTTGCACCCTAGGGAATCTCTAGTTTTAACCGGTACCCCAGGTGCAGGAAAGTTAGGAATCATTAGATGATATGATTTCTAATCGTCCCTTCCATCTTTAGATTGTTCCCTAGAACCAAAAACCAAGAACTTTGGGGATGAGACAGAATGAATTCATCAAACTACAAGTGGATCAGAGTTTATTAAGTAGGGAGTAGAGAATGTGTGGCACAAATAAACCTATGCAACACTCCAACCGAACCGAACCTGAGATTCCTGAAAAAATTCTGTCGGTTAGCAATTGGCCGCTTCCATCCCCACTGACACGGGGGCTTGTCAGGGGCGATGAGGGAATACGTCCCGTGCAGGACCGGTGGTTACGCCTGGGGCTGGTTATGATATCCGCGAAGCTTTCAAGGCCATGCCGCGCAGGCTTACGGTCGAGACTTCAGAGCGGACGCAGCCAGACCCACCAAGATGGCTACGATCGTGAAGCCCTGGGCGGCGATCCGGGTGCGCATCATGAGCTGGGAACGCTGGCTCTGACCCCGGTGGAAGCAATAGAGGCCGTAGGTAAGGGCGGCCGCCGTGCTCAGGCAGCCTGAGGAGGGGACAAAGCAGGTGGGGAGTGGCATGTCCAGTCCCTGAGACGTCTCTCCCCGCTTAAGGCTTCCCTCCTCGGTCAAAATCTCTGAACGGCAGCAGGGGGATGGAGGGAACGAGGTGGGGTAAGATGGTCCCGAGAGGGGACTCGGACTTACATAGTCCTGGTCACTGAATCCCACCCTGCTCCTGCTTTAATCAAGTTCAAGCCACATCGCCCCGGCCCCTCTTCGGCATATTTCTGGTCCAGTCTCATTTCGGTCCCTCCTGGCGTCTCCGTCCTTCCCTATTTCATTCCTCCCGACATCTCTGTCCTTTCGGCCTACAGTTCCTTCAGTACCCGCTTACCTAGAGGTACCATTGGGTTCTCGCGGGTCTTGCGAAGGAACTTTTCCTTGAAACTTTCCGTAGTGCTGTAGACACTGGGGCTCATGCCCTCAACGACGGGGGGTTGTGATGGTTCAAAGGGTGTCCCCGGAGTCACAGAGCCAGGAGTCGTCATGTCTCCGCTACCAGCAGTAAGGGAAAATGGGGACCTTAAACTACGCCTTCTGATTACGTCACGAAAGGGGGCGGAGAAAACGAGTTTGCTAAGCATTGTACGCAGGCGCCACAGCTCATTGCATTCTGGGAGTCGTAGTAATCAGCAGTGTAAATCTATGGGGACGACTACATTTTCCAGAAAGCCTGTCAAAAGCCATGCGCATTCTCGCCGGAAGGAGTTTGCTACACGAGGTCGTGGGAGTGAGAGCGCGGACTCTGAGTTACCGGTGTGGTGTTCAGCGCGATGCCCAAGGCCAAGGGAAAGACCCGGAGGCAGAAGTTCGGTTACAATGTTAACCGAAAGCGTCTTAACCGTAATGCTAGACGGAAGGCAGCGCCGCGAATCGAATGGTGAGGGGGGCCGGAGTTCAGGAGGCTGGGGGCCCGGGCCGGGTTGGCCGGCCAGATGACAGTTCTGTGATCTCACTCTTTGCCCGTAGCTCCCACATTCGACATGCCTGGGACCACGCCAAATCAGTGCGGCAGAACCTGGCTGAGATGGGGTTGGCAATGGACCCCAACAAGGCGGTGCCCCTCCGTAAGAGAAAGGTATTGATATGACAGAGTCCCGGTCCTTGCCCCCGCAGTATTTAGCTGGGCTTCAGAACTTGATCCTGCCCATTACCTCCCTCATGCCCTTCCTGGATTTGCGATCTCCCCACAGCCCACTCGGCCAGTCTGCACTCACATGGTTGAGGGTCCCTTTTAGAACTACCTCGTATTCTCTCCCTAGCACACATTGGACTGGGGTTCCCTTTTCCTTCTCAACTCTTTTTTTCCCTCTGAAATTAACCTGTTTAGGTCCCTTAGTAACTCAATAGTATTTTTCAGAATTTATTTTTTTCTGCCTGTAGCTTTCCTAAGAAGGACTCCCCAGAGTTTGAGATCTTTACTTAATATTCTTTATACTTCCCCCCAGTCATCCAGTCACCTCAGGCATCCAATCTTGAGGCTTCCTTGGTGCTAGTTTCCCTGGAATAAGTCATTTTCTGGACCACCCTTTCAAAAATAGCACCCTTTCTCACTCAGTAAATTCTTCTGGTTTTGTTTTCATTCATAGCACTTGTAAATATTTGATGGTAATTTATATATTTATTTGTTCATCTGTTGTTTGTGCCTCATTCCCTAATTGTTTAAATCCTCTTGGGGACAACGACTTTATGTTTTGTTCAGTACTAAATCTCTAGTACTTGGAATGTGACTGTGACTAGTGTTCAGTAAATAGTTAACCTACTGAGTGAGCTTGTTGATTGAACTTGTCCTCAAATTCACACTTGATTTTAGGCAAGTTTCTTTTTATCCCTTTATGCCAGAGGGAAATGGTAGTACTGTTTCTAGAACAGATGTAAAGCTGCGGCCAAACACTGTCAGATTATGCCTCTTCATAGACAAGATAACCGAAGTCTTCCCCTCTTTGTCAATTATGGAGCGCTTTCATGTGAGTTGTTTCATTCGATTATCACCTAAGAGGCGAGGCAGGCAAGGGGCATTATGGCAATTTCATAGATAGGCACAGAAAGAGAAATTGCTTGTTTGAGTCTCTTGGGAACCATGAAGCCTCCAGGGCATTGGATCTTCTTATCATCTATTCCTGCCTGACCTCCTATCAAGATCCTTATGGGTAATGCAGTTGTGTTGGGATGGGCAGGAGCTTCTAGAATTTTTCCTCATCCAGGATCCTTTCTTTGCCTACTGGTCTCATTGGCTCTGTTTGCTGCAGGTCAAGGCCATGGAGATGGACGCAGTGGAGAGGCCTCAGGAACTTGTGCGGAAACCCTATGTGCTAAATGGTGAGTGCTGGCCACATTTCCACTAGGTCACCATCCTACACTGTTAGGGCTGGAAAGAGTCCTCACAGGTCCTCATTTTATACTTGGAGAATGCAAGGTTGAGAGGGAAGAAGTGAGCAGCTCCAGGGTTCACAGTTAGGACTGTGTCCCCAGCTGGGACAGTTTCAGTCTAATGACTACACTCAAGTTTAGTGAGGTCAGAGGTGTTCAGGTCCCTAGAGGATGGAAAAGAAACAGTTAAGTCTCAGGCATTAAAGCTATAGTGACTATTAAAGCAGAAGAGTAAATTCTTTAGGAAAGCAGGAATACTCTAGAATTCTCCACACATCTTTTGTCTGACCTGTCTGAGATTTTTTTTTTTTTAATTTTTATGAGTTTATTGGAGCCAAACTGACAACATTGTTGGGAAGCAAGATCTCAAATGCTTTCCTGTCTGAGATTTTTACCTCCTGAAGGCAGAATGATTTGAATGGCTGGACATTTGATATAGAATCCCTTGAGTTCCTGTCTTTCATGTATCAGTGATTCTCATCAGAATTACTATACTGGGTTATGTACACAAAACCATGTACTTATTATAGGCAAAGCTAATTTTAAAAAGTTTTAATTCTTTAAAAAATTTTTATGGGGTGGCTCCATAGTGTAGTGGTTAGTACATCTGTTTTACATGCAGAAGGTTCTGGGTTCGTGCCCCAGGTGGTGCCACGGACCATACCCCAGGTGCGCGCCACAAGCACTTGGGAGGGGGAGGCCTTCAGAGATCCAGTTCTTAAAAAGGGAAATGGCAACATCCATGGGTCAGAGGTGGAAATGAGGGGGGAGAGGGAATTAAAGAGGGGGAAAAAATTTTTATTGTGGTAAAAAACAGATTACATAAAATTTACTACCCTAATCATTTTTAAATCTATAGTTTAGTAGTGTTCAGCATATTCACATTGTCATGCAGAAGATCTCTAGAACTCTTGCATCTTCAGAACCTAAACTATCCACATTAAACAACAGCTTTCCATTTCCCCCTCTTAACCCCTGGCAACCAAAGCAAAGATAATTTTGACTATAAGCAATTTTAGCACTTAACTCCTGGAGAAGATTTGACCACCTTGTTTCCGTGAACTAGTTTTCTTCATAGATGAGAAATAGGGAGTTTTTGCCTAGCTATTTTAAAAGCGAAGCCATTATTGGCTTCATATCTTGACTTTTTCCCTCACATGGAGCATAGAGGGCCCTGGGCTTGGCCTTAGGCCCTAGTTGCTATAGCTCTCATTTATTTCCATATCTTGTATTGTTGTAATACTTCAAGAAAAGAGGTTCTGAGAGTTTTAGAGCTGGAAGGGAGCCCTGTCCTGTGGGCAGGCAACATTTCTTCATCTCTGTCCCCAGGACCTGGCACTAAGTAAAGATTATTAGTTTGGTGCTTTACTTTTTAACTCATCTGAGGCTCAAAGAGGTGACGTGCCTTTCAGGTAGTTGCCATACTGATAGAAGATTGTGCATAGGCAGAGCCTGGGATCCAAGGGTCTGGAGAAGAAGGTTCTATTACTATATATGGGGATGGAGAGACAGAGCCCATTAGATGGCTGGTGTAGCATCTCTTGTGGCTCGGGATTTGGTGAAGAGGTGACTAGGCAGCTCAAATAGTGTAGGAAGCAACACCTCATTCCTTGTCTTTGGTTTCTCTCACCTTAGACCTGGAGGCAGAAGCCAGCCTCCCAGAAAAGAAAGGAAATACGCTGTCTCGGGACCTCATAGACTATGTACGCTACATGGTGGAGAACCATGGGGAGGACTACAAGGTGAGTGGCTCTGGCTTGCCAGGAAGAAACACTGGACCCACTGCAAAGGCACTCTGGACTGTTCGTGATCTGATCTCCTCGCCTAGGGCCTATTTCCTGAAACTGAGTGGAAACAGTGGGAAGACAGACTCTAGGAAATGGATCCCACTGACAGAATGCTTATAGATGGGATAGACTGGGTGGCTATCTGATGGATATGTTGTTTCCCTTGCATGGTATTTTTAAAGAACTTGAACAAGTTGCTATTTTAATCATGGGCGGTTTCAAATAAAAGTCCATATTTTTTGCTTCTCTTAAAAATCAAAAGATCTGGGTATACTGATGACCGTGCCCAGATGGCAGTAGTCGGCTATGGATGGAGCATGAGCTGCTCCGCTGGCCTCAGCTCCTGCCTGGTCCCTGAGGCCATCTGCACCCATTTCTCCAAATATACAGTGGCTTTTGAAGTGAGGAATCTGAGCCTCTGGGATAGGAAGTGGCTTGCCTACCACTGGCAGAGCTAGGATTTGAACATTTGCTTGTCCAGTCCTCAAGTGGCCCTTCTCTCTTCTTAGGCAATGGCCCGGGATGAGAAGAATTACTATCAAGACACCCCGAAACAGATTCGGAATAAGATCAACGTCTATAAGCGTTTTTACCCAGCGGAATGGCAAGCCTTTGTTGATTCTTTGCAGAAAAATAAGATGGAGGTTGAATGACTGGTTTACTCTGCCCAGGCTGAGGCTTCCTTCTGGACCCAAGAAGCTGGAACCAGGGTTTAAGGCAAAGAAGGGTGTGTGGCTACAAATGAGGCTAGCCAAACCCCATGGAATCAAAAGGTTTTCTTCTTTCTCACTCCCATCTCTGGGGAAGGAACTGCCTCCCAGAGACTCCAATTTCTTCTGGAGGCTCCGGGAAAAGCCAGAACCTGCTGTTTTCACAGTTGATGGTTTGTTTGAATATACTCTGTACAGAATAAAATAAGGCTCTTTTACTTCTCTGATGGTTTTGTGTTTGCCCCTCCCAGCTAAGCACTGCAGCCACCCCTATAAGAACCTACTCAGCCAGGGCAGGGAGGCACATCATGTGCCACATTCATGTGCCCTCCTAGGCATAGCCTCTTCCCCCTTCCCCTTTCCTGGTTCCCTGGCCCTGCCTTGGTTTCCCACACAGTAGTCCCATTAATCCTTCTACAGAAATCTGCCAGGAACCCTGGGCTTCTTGGAAGGGGCCTGCCTTGCCATTACTAGCCCCACTCCTAGGCTGGGGGTTGTTGGACTGGTTCTCCACACCCTAGCCTGAGGCTGGCTGTGGCTTAACTGATAGAGGTTGAGCAGCTGGCTCCTGGTCTGCGTTCTGCCTGCCCTCAATGCTCATCTTCAGGTTGCTTGATGATCTTCAGGTGTTGGCCTTGGCCTGAAGGGAACCCGAGGGCCCAAACCTGCTTTCTCAGACTGGTGGATTGCTGAATACCACCCTAATGTGTGTCAAGCCCTGGGCTACACATTGCATGGCCATTCTCTGGGGCCAGGCCTGTAAGGAGGAGGTGATGACTGTTCCATAGCAGGATCACAAGCAGGGTGTAGGATGGTCACTGGGCATTTGAGACTTTGTCCTCAGCTATTAATAATACAGAAACCTTATTCCTAAGATTTCTCCTGGAAGCATGTAAAGTTCTTTCATCACTGCTCTTGAAAAGGAGGGTGTAGTGTTTTCACATGGATCGTTTTGCATAAAACCCTATAGGGTGTGTGGTTTTATTATCATCTTACAGGTAAAGAAACAGGCTTGAGAGATGTTAATGGGGGTTTTGACTTCAGGTCTTTAAAACAGCTAAAACTAGGCTTTCACATGTTGTCCTCCCCTTTGGCTCCTGAAGGAGTCCATCTATCCCACATCATCACAACAGGCTGGGAGAGTCCCAGAAGCCCCTCCCGTATCAGACCCAGCCTAGACTGCAGCAGTGACTGGCCACTAAGCATGGCGAGCACAGCCTTTTGGGTCTAGTCTGCAACAGAACTGCGGGCCTTTGTTCTTTGGCCTCATAATTTTGGTCCTTCACAGCAGCATCCCAAATTCAGGCCTTTGACTAGGCTGGCCCCTTTCCTTATTTCGTTACCCAGTTAAGTTGCTAATTTTTGGAAACCTTTCCTACCACTGTCCCCCGTCCCTCAGGCTTTGTAAGTGTCCTGTAGTCCCCGTGCCCCAGACTTCTGTAGCAATAGCTATCACAGTCATAACTGCCTTTTAATCTGCTTGACATCTTCAACTGGGCAAGTGTGGGGACCTTGCCTGGTTGTCCTCGGTCCCCGGCCCCATGCAGTTGTTCGGGGAAGGCTTGTGCCGTGGCTGACAGCATAGGCCCTTCGGACAGGACAGAAGGGTGAGATTATCATCAGCACCTCTCTGCAGAGGACCAGGAGGGTGTGGCAGACTGACTTCATCCCGTACCCAGTCCTTACAGCTGGTTCCATGGAGTCAGTGCAAACTGGTTTGGTTGGTTTGATTATAACCAAAAGCAAAGCGTTGAATGGAACAAGCAGTCCAGAGGCTGTGGCTCCACAGAGAACAGTCACTCTGGGCTAAAAACTGCAGTGCCGGCAAACGTGCTTAGGCTATGGTGGAGTCTGTCCCCATCGCTGCTCCACCGATGCAAATTAGCACATGGAGGGCTTTGAAAGTCTGCCTTTAAAGATCTTCCTTAACTGTTTTCTTTACATATTTGACCACGATTCTTACCTGGAGACACTTACAGGGTACACAGAACACTGAGGCAATGCTGAGCCAGGCACTTGAGTGAGTTAGGTGGTTAGTCAAGCCCTGTCTCTGCCAAGTTTTTGGAAACACTGAAAATAGCTGAGGTGCCATGTTAGCTCCCCCATGGGCCTCTAGGTGTCAGGAGCCCAGGCCGGAAATCTCCATGGAGGTAATGACCAGAGAGTGCCTAGGCTGGGAGATGGGAGGGCTACTCTAACTTGGGAGGCAAGGGAAGATTTCTGTGAAGGGGTAAGGTCTGCGCTCAGTCCTGAATGACAAAAAGCAGCAAGACATGAGTAGGTCTGGGGAAGAGCATTCCAGGAAGACGTGACAGCAAGTGCAGAGGCCCTGAGGCAGGACCAAACCAGGCTTCCTCTGATGCCAAGGCTGTTCCTGGGGGCCTGAGGTCAGAGGAAACAGGGCTGGGGAGGAGACCGCTGGACCAAGCAGCCCAGAGAAGGCTGGGTAAAGCCGCCTGGCTCAGTGGGGGCAGAGGGTCATTGACGCAGGGGAAGACAGATCTGAGACCTCTGCCTATCTCCACCTGCAGCGCATCCGAGGAGGCTTTTGTGAAAGAATCCAAGGAGGACACCCCGGGCACAGAGTGGGAGAAGGTGGCCCAGCTGTGCGACTTCAACCCCAAGAGCAGCAAGCAGTGCAAAGACGTGTCCCGCCTGCGTTCGGTGCTCATGTCCCTGAAGCAGACGCCGCTGTCCCGCTAGGTGCCTGCCACAAGCATGGCCACAGAGAGTGGGTCGGGCAGAGGTGGAGCACCTGCTTTGGGCAGGAGGGAAATGCCTCCAGCAGCTGCTCCTTCTCCACACAGCCTGCTCCATTCGACCCTGTCTCCCAGGGCTGGGAGTGGGACCCGCACCCGTCTCACCTCCGTTCCCTCCTGGCCCTACGGCCCAGCACCTCACACCTCAGTCCACAAAATTGTGACTGTCTTTCTGATGTATTTTTGTCCTTGGCTTAAAGGGTGTGTTGTTAACTCTTTTACACTTATTTATCATCATTCTCATTTCTCTGGAAGCCCCAGCTGGAGTCAGGGCTCAGTTTGTGCTTAGATCTCTCCCAGCTTTGGCCTTGAGACAAAGCGAGGCTATTCCCCTGTAAACCCAGGGACTCCCAGCTGGAAGTGGGTGTCCCAAGCCCTCTGTGTCCGCTGCCTGCACCCCCAAGGAGGAAAGACAACCTCTCACAGAATGTTTTTGCAACCTTGATCCTTCCTGATCCTTGAACAAGCCTGTGAGATAGGGATTCTGTCACACAGCCTCAGACACCAAGGCTCCCAGAGGGTAAGTGGGAGGGAAGAGGCAAGACCAGCGGTTCTCAGTGGAGGCTCTGTCTAAGCCTGGAGAGAGGCTGGTGAAGGTAGCCTGTGTCAGACCCCCTTCCTTGGGATCGGCCGGGCCCCTCGGGGTGGTACGCCCACTGCGGTCCCTCATTCAGCTGTGCCCCTCTGTGGATTGGGGATAAATGTCCAGTGACCACACCTCTTCCCCTTCTGGCCGAGGTTGCAAACTGGCTACATTCAATATTGTGACCTGCATAGTGCTTAAAAAGATCTGAGTAATTGCCAACCATATTAGTTTCCTAGGGCTATTGTAACAAAGTACCATAGTGTCTGGGTTAGAACAGAAATTTATTGTCTCATCGTTTTGGAGGTCAGAAGTCTGAATTCAGGGTGTCAGCAGGGCATGGTCCCTCTGAAGTCACTTGGGAGGGATCTGTTGCAGTCTTCGAGCTTCTGGCAGCCTTCGGGGTTCTTTGGCTTGTAGATGCATCACTACATCCTGAGTTCATCTTCACATCACCTGTCCTTTATACATATCTGTCTCTGACAAAATTTCCCCTTTTAATAAGGACACCAGTCATATTGGTTTAGGGTTCACCTTAATGATCTCATTTTAACTTGAGTACCTCTGTAAAGATGCAAATAAGGTCACATCTGAGGTACTGGGTTAGGATTTCAACCTATTTTTTTTTTGTGGGGACACAAATGCCTACAGTTAAAAAGCAGTGACTGTCTTTAGAAGTGCCATAGTCCTTACCACTTCATAGCTGTTCTTTGAATCTTGAGGCCAAGGTCACCACAATGTACTGTTCTATGTTCAGTCTTTGCTTTACAGCTGAGAGACCATGGTGGGGGCCAGAAATTTATATGCATC